GCACCTGCCCCCACCGATGTCATCGTCCATCGCGATGTTTCACTGTAGACATCGTCCGATGCCAATTTTGTAGACATCGCCCAACCCTAATGTAGAACATTTACTTAGATTAATAATGTAAAGTTGCTAAACATTCATGTTAGCTAGTGCACTAGCTCATGTAACCATATATTTCCCTCTATTTCAACTTAAAAACTTAAGTTCAGTAGCTGCCTTGAATTTTTACGTATAATCAATTTGATTGTGCAAGTCATTTCAACTTAAATGAAACCGACTTAAAAAAATCAAGTTAAATTTCATATCATAGTATTTTTACAGTGTGGAGAAACAAGACAAGACATCAAAGATGACAAATACATCTTTTTATGTGATTATAAACATCCCGAAACATTCAAAAGCAAATCAACCATTTTAAATGAAGCACATTCTTGGCAAATCCTCATTAGTGTTTGTGCAAATGTGCCCCGAATTACATTTACACGGACAAATGGTGCATTGCACTTTACAGAATAGTGGTTAAAAGCTCATTTGTGAGTAACACAATCTAAGCGTGTCATAACCTACTTGCGAAAAAAGAGGGCAGTGGCCATATTTATAGAACCCAATAGTCTAGTTCTTATAGATTCGGTAGAGAACCAATATTTACAGCAAGCCAGCTAAATATGACAGCTCAATCAATATTGTGTAGTCGCTCAGTGTTTGATCATTTGTAAATGGTGTTGCTTTATCAGCCCAGCACGTTTTATTGCCATTTCAAAGCATATGGCATAATGTACCATATTTGGTCCAGCAAAGCGGGAGAGGGGAAATGAGGACATGTGCTTTGTGTATACAGTAACCTCACTCTCTGCTCTTATCATTAATTTTATAGGGTGAATGAAAGTGAGAGCAAAGTCCACAACGGCGGTGGCAAACGTGCCTGAACCTGTGGTGCAGTTTCAGCACATGCGGCAATATGCGGATGTGAAGTGCGAACATGTGCACATGGGACCGTCGAGGGGCTTCCTAATATCTTTTTCCCTATCTGCTCCCTGTGTGGTGAAGACAGCTTGTCGTCAGACAGCGCTCTGTCTCACCGTATGTAGGTCTAGTTCTAGTTTAAATCAGGAAGTGGAGGATAAACAGACCCCTCAGGGAGAAGCAGGGTACATGCTGAGTATTGCCCTGGTATTACCAACAAGATATATGACTTGTCAGCCATGTGAGGACCGTTAAATCGCAGACATAATTAAAAGGCAGCGATGCCACTGAAGTCTGACAGACACCAGGCCTCTAAAGCAGCAGGTTTCTTGCGACCTGACCTTTGACAGCACACATCATAAGGTGTGAAATCAAACAGAATGTCAACCGCCACTCACACGACTGCAGGTGCTCTCGCACCTCGACTGTAGCGTCTACGTAAGGTGTGAAATCAAACAGAATGTCAACCGCCACTCACACGACTACAGGTGCTCTCGCACCTCGACTGTAGCGTCTACATTATGCACTCGACCTGAAAGCAACTGCATTGTTGTGCATATAAAATTTGATAGTCTTTGCACAAAATCTATGGCCTGTAACTAAATAAGATAAAAACTAATGACATTTCTTAAATATGAAGCGCAATGCAATACCTGGCAGGTTCAGGGACACGACTGTCCAGACCCCTTTTAAGTTGTGGACCGGTAAATAAAACAAACTCAGGGTTCACATCACTTTTGACAGTGAATTTCAATATGGATTTTCAGAAATAAAAGCTAGTGCAGATTTTCAATGTCAGATGGAATACATCAATTATACTTTTTAGTATACAAATGTCTCGCCCTGAGAAAACATCTTGAAATTTGAATACGGCACAACACTGAAATGAACAGAACTATATCCAGCTAATGAACTATTTTAAAGTATAACTAAAAATAATGGTAACACTAACAATAATGTTCAATTTGTTAACATATGTTAATATATTATTAACTATTAATGTATAATTAACCAACAATTAACATTTTTGTGCATTTATTAAGGTTAATTACTATACTATTGTTCAATTTTAATTTATATTTGTATATAATATATTAACTAATGCTAATCAATGCAACCTGAAATGTTAAAAATAAATATTAGTGCACGTAAAAAAACTGATAAAATTGCTATTGCATTAGCTAATGTCAACATACTGCAAAGTTGTGTATTGTAAAGTGCACAAATGTCTGTGACATTTAATAACGTGTTAATATCCATGACTGTGGGTACCCTGTTACTAAACAGGTAGCATAAACAGTCTTGACAGTGCAAAATAAAGGTCATCAGACTCCATTTTTTTTATTTGTATAAGGAATGCACGCATGACTGTCGATTTATGCAACAACTCAGACATGGACGACAAAATAAACTAAAGCATTCAGCTCAGGACAGTTGTCTGTGCTGGCAAATGTCCGATGATGTTAAGGGTTAGCGGGACAAGGACATTAAACTTCCAACACACCAAGATACAAAACCACCCTCGCACACTTTTCCAGTACCAACTTTTAGGAAGCCAAGGACAAATTCAGCTCCTATCGTGGGTGAACACCTTACGGTTGGGACTGCACCCAGCCTTGGCCATGAAATTGAAATGTCAGCGTGACAGCATTACTAGTTTTAGATGGCAGACACAAAAATACAGCATCAGAAAAGATATACTGTACAGCCCACTGCTCCTGACTATTACAGGGGGCTCATGGCATGCGAGTTTGAGCTCCATCCAACCTGTTTACAAACTAGGTGCTGCTCAGGGCACCACAGCATCGATGGGAAGCTCAACAGCTGTCAGCAAGTGACACCCAGCTGCGTTACTGGCGTTTTATTAGAAATGACATCTTGTGCGTTAAGGTCAAATGAGAGACTTAGCTACTAAGTACACGGAGAAATTCAAATTCTAGACTTATGCGTCACGGTGAGAAGAGGCCATGTGCGCAAAAGCAAGGTTAGAGATGGAGACCCATAAACGAGCGAGCGTCAGTCGTGACAGCGAGCAATGCATTACACCAATCACAAATGCAATAACATGTGCGCGGCTAGATTGGGTAAAGAATATGAAATATTGGTCTTTACGAAAGCAGATGACTCACCTGTGCAGCCAGCGCGCGACTAGAGCTCGGGTGACATCAAATGCAGCGCAAAGCGAAATGAAGATTTGTCAATAACTACGTCACGATCACTGGCTGATGTGAGGCGCGCGCTTTGGTTGCAAAAGTTCCCGCGTTGAACCGAGAGCTTTTGACCGCGCGGTTTCCTGCTTAAAGCTTCGGACAATGACCAGCGGCTGCGGGGTGTTTCGAGTTGAACGACGAAGCGAGCGATGGGGAAGCGTGAAGCGAACTTGCTAGCTGCTGCTAGGCAGAAGACGAGACGAGGGAGGGCAGAAGGGAGGAGTAGAGCGAAAGTGTGCACGGCACTACGTGCATTCCCATGTATTGCCTCCATTTTAGGGGGATTCCCACTCGACCTCAGCGCAAACTGCGTCTTATGGATGAGGACACCTATGAGGAGAAATATTTGACGAGAAGGCTTTAGGAAGGGTGGATTTAAATGCATTCAATAAATATCGCACAGTACTGCACCTATGTAAATATTTAGACAAGAAGATTCGTCCTCACTCTATAAATTATACTTTGCTTATGAGTAACGGGTGTTTTAAATGTGCACTCGGCATTTTTTAAATTGGAAAACTTTACACATTGAGATAAATCTAAATATTATTAAAATATGTATACTCGCATGACATTATTCTTTTAGAAAAGACCGTTTTACTCTACATGGAGCGGGTCGCCCTCTCGTGGACGCAGCCATGATGACATCACATGACCTGACGTGTCATACAATTGTCTAATTATTATTAATAATAAATGTTATTTAATACATCGCAAAACAAACACATACATGGGCCTGCTCCAAAAAAACAAACAAAAACTTAAAACTTAGTTTCAACATATTTAAACAAACTAAACGCCTTTTCTAAAAATGTTTTTAACGTTTATTTCTTATTCACAATTGTAACTAGTTGTCCTTACTCTATAAATCCCGAACATAAAATTTTGAGGGAAAGAGAATGATAATCTATTTTTAGGTTTAATAGTTTCATTTAATGCAACAATGGATCTCTAGGTCTTCCTACTGGTCCCAAATTTGACAACTGACAACTTTAAGAACCTGCAAGCCCAAAAATACATTTGTCACAAATGTTACCAGTGGGATTAAATGGATTAACTGGCCAAACTAAATTATACAAACCCACTGTGTCACATAATAAAACGAGCATTTTGTTCTACAGATCAAGAGAGTTTACTTGTGTAAGGTTTCATTCATAAGCAACGGGTATTACTTTGGCTCCATCTGCTGTAGAAAGAAAATAAAGCAAAACTGAAGACTCGCCCTCTCTGAGATAGTTTAACTAGCCACAACCAACTTGGATTATTATTTTAAAAAATAATAATTAATTAGTACTCACAAATGTAATTCATTTTCCATTAGAGCAATCGGTGCTCCTCAGTATAACCTATGGTGTGGTATAGATTCAGCAGTTGAAGTGATTCACAATGGCTTTTTATTTTCAAGTAACAAAATATGAGCTAACCCATAACCTGTGATTCTATGAGCAAACATATAAATAAAAGGTATGAGAAAGAAATTTACTTTTACATCTAAAAAAAACATCTTAAATCAAAAAATAATGTTGGACTTCAATATAAGGCTGACTTGTGATGTGCATGGGATTGTAACGGTTGAGGACACTTGAAAAAAAATTAGGCAATATTTGAAATCGTACATTACAGGAATGTAAATAAAAACATGCTGCAACCAGATTCTTCCTCAGAACAGCAAGGTCGGAAAATGGCGTTTCTGAAACATTCCAATCTTTGGCTTTCACGATAAGCAGATGCTTTTCATCCATAGTGATTTTCAGTACATGCAATCTGGAGTCAAAATGCCCTCTCTCAAGGGCAGAGTGGTGATGGGACAGTGGATTTTATCATCTTTTCAGTTCACAAGACACATCAGGCTGCAAGACGGTAATTCAAATATGATATCTAACAGAGAACTGGTGCCAAGAATCTATATGAGAATTTTGATGTGCGTTCCACAAAATGCATTTGTCACAGAAAAAGCATCCCGCAATTAACAACCCGTATATGCTAATATCTAGCAGTGATTTGGGCTTAAAGGATTATAGGTACCCCAAAGTAATCAAATGGAATCACCATTTTCTAGTCCAGTATTGAGTTCAAACCTCTTCCCAAATAGCTGTTGGCTACCGCCACTGCTCCACGTTTTCTAAATAGTCCAATATGGTTTCACTGTCATCCTCCTCTAACCAGTTGTCCTCTACCTGTCCTTCTGTCTCGCTCTCCAGCGTTTGTCCAGCATCTACTCGTTTTTCTTCCGAGAAAGTGGGAGATTGTTCTGTCATTGGTGGCTCCTTGGTGGGTTTAAAAACAGCTTTTCCAGTCACCCCCCACCAAGGCTTCACCTTGGCATGTAACTTGCGCCTCTCCTGCAGGCGTCGCTGCCGGGCCTCCCTGCGCTCCTGCTGTCTGGCGTACTGGAAGCGCTGGAGGAAAAGGTCCCGCGCGTACTCGTACAGCTCCACGTCCCACTGGTTAAGCTCTCGAATCCTGCGCTGGGTCTCCGATTCCACCTCTACGCTCGCAGCACGCGTGCCGTTGAGCTGCGTGAATGGCGCGATGAAGGACAGGCGGAACGTGTGCTCAAAGAGGTACTGCGTCTTACGCTGATATTCAGTCAGACCAAAAAAGGCCATGTTTCGCAAGTTGCGCTTGGCACTTTCCAATAGCATAGCCCACCGCTGGCGCTCACTCATGACGGAGAGGTTATAGCAGCCCACCAGGCTGAGGTCGGCCAACATACGAGTCTGTCTGTTGTTGGCCAGGTTGTAAGGACACACCATGAATTCCTCTAATGAACAACCCGACCAGTCGTCACCAGTGTAACAGCTGGGCAGCTCGGACAGGGTGGGTGAATGGCCATCGCACATGTGTTTAGAGGCCTTCCAGGTGGCACCGCGCTGAACATGCCTCCATTCGCTCAGGTATCGCCACACCGGATCCCTCAAGATTGTGATGTAGTAGTAGTTCCTACTACATGAGACAGGAAAGAGAAGAGTTAAAAAAAAAATCAAAAAATAAAAAAAAAAAAATTCAAAATGAGCTCAAACTAAAGCAGTCACAACTGACTTGAAACAAAATGAAACTTAATATTGCATATGTATCATTAAGTTGGGTAAAGTTGTCATATTTTGTGCATGTTCACACTGACAGAATTATACATGGCGTAGTTTCTGTTGGAGTGTGTCAGGGGAGCGATCTTGATGGAAAACGGAATGAATTATTGCTGGTTGACTCTAATTATGGGCATTTCAGCATAATGAGCGAATGAGAAGAATAATCTTTCAGCTCACATCCAGAACACTTTCCATATGAATATCAATTAAGACAAATGCATTCAACAACAGCAGAGAGAAAGTCTCCGGAGAGCCTCAACTTTTCCTTTACTTACAAGCCAACAATGAGCCCATGGGATTTTAATTTGATCTAATTGTGTCCATTTGAAAAGCAGGTACTTCATGGTTTATAGCTGTATGTATATGTATGTATATGTATATGTATATGTATGTATATGTATATATA